TAACTTTTTATATCACAAATAAGCAATTCTTAAAATAAACAGTAATATACATATCCATGGTTAATTAAAAATAGCTGTGTAAAGATAATAGTATAATTATCATTAGGCGACTAGATTTGTATTGCATTTCCGTTTCAGTCACCCTAGAAAAATCGCGCTTCTTTTAAAGGAATATATATGCTGGACCTTTTAATAGTTATTCCCTTATCCAGCCAAACCTATAAACGTTAAGTGAAAATCTTTGACAAAAGAATTCGTTAATACAGAAAGGGGCGCTGTTTAATAGAAAACGTGAATATATACGTCTAATTACATATGGCCTTCTCCATTTTATATTTAACAACGCCCATATAAAACCATATAAAAAAGTGTATTCAAGATGTTTATCAGATAACTGATTAAAAATCATGAAATCATGTGATACTGCCAAGAAATATGAAAATACGATTAAGTATCTAAATATACCGTTAAATGCAACATCATGTTCATAAAAGAAAAAAATTAAACGTTTAAGGATGGTACATGATCGGAGAAGAGATGTCGCTCAAATCAAAAAAAAATTTTTTTCTTCGTTTTTTTTTTATCAAATTTACAATTCCTCCGATAATAAATATACAAACAATCGATATTATTATTATTCTTAAAATAAATATATCTGCTCCATACTTAGCCTCGATCAATATCAGGACAATTTGCAAATGCAAACTCCAGTTTTCTAACTAATTCCTCTTTCGAATTATTTGGCGGAATAATAAGCCTATTGAAACACGTACGCGCCTTAGGCAACGCACGTTCATCCAAGCCTGAATCTCTAAATACTTTTAGATTCAAGGCTTCAAACCCTCCAATCGGAAGTTTCGAGCTTCCCGTTGCAAAACGTAAAAATCGCTTTCGGTTGTCTGTGTCATATTCTGCCATTATCTGGATTACTTTTTCGACTTCTTCATTGTTGGTATTTGTGTCGTATGGCTGGACGTACTGCCGTAGTGTTTCAATACTCCAATCTCCATCTCCTCCTTGATGCAGAAAATATAATGCGAACTCTGTTGCTGTATATTCTCGCATGACTTCAATGGGAAATACCCGGTTAAACCCTTCTTTAAAGGCTTTAACCTGCAGTGTGATTCCACGATTAAAAAACCAATCTCTGCATGCTGCGATGTATCGAGCTATGTTTTGACGCGTTACCCACTCATCAGAATCGTTCCCATGATTAATACTATATGGTTGCTCCCTTTTTTTTTCCGTCGGATCCAACTACCGACGTCGTACGACCAGTCATAATGTCGTATGGAATGCAATCCGTTTCGTCAAGGTCATTATTATTAAGTATTTTCCGTAGGTTAGATCCAAATGATGGATATACTGACTCGATCAGCTATTTTTAATTAACCATGGATATGTATATTACTGTTTATTTTAAGAATTGCTTATTTGTGATATAAAAAGTTA